GTAGGTGCCCTGTTCATGGGAAAACCCCCAAGCATTTGAACCCGAAATTCCAAATTCGTTTTACTATGTTTCAGATTTGAAATTTGCATGAAAACTCTAAGCAATGAATAGTTTCAAACCTATTTTGAGTTTATCCAACCACTCTTTTGTTCAATTCGACTATTGGAAAACTCCTGTCAATGTTGTACACGAGAGGTAAGTCTCTCATTTTTGCATTTGAACCTGAATTTGTAATCTTTGTTCTCAATTTAGTTTTAGGTTGCTTAAAGTCTATTAACCATGGGAAGCTTGCATTCCTAGTTTCCTCTAGATTGAGAAAAAGAGGTAGAGAGGTGAGGGTCTTAGGGAAATGAATACCTAAAACCCGATAACATCACTTTAAATAAAATTTGGGTGAAGTAGGGAGCGTTTTCGCTTGATTTTAGGAGCTCTGAGCAACTATTTTCAGTGGTGTTTCACTAGAAATTGAGCCTGAGCAACTCCCGTATTAGGTTGCTATAGTAGCTTGGAGAGAGAGGTGCCTAACACCTTTCCTCTCCCCAATCCTTCCAAATTTAGAATCTTTTGATTTGGTGCTATTCCCATGTAGAACGGAATCACTATCAAAGCGAATAAATTGATTTTTCATATTTGAAAATGATGATCCATTTCCTCTAAAAATGGGTGGCAACTCCATTTCTTTGAGCCGACCATGAGCTTTCCGGAGCTCACAACCACATATGGGTGCCATTCCCTTGTAGGGCCTATTTGGTATTGATGTTGTTTATTTGAAAAAAAAGGTGTCACGTCAGAGCCACGTTGGCGATTCCACTTTTCAACGCCTTCCATGTTGTTTGGTTCTGGCGATTTTTGAAAAAGTAGTGAAAAATGGGCACACGTCGTAAATCGCATTCTTTCCAATGTATGAAACATCAAATCGGCGAGCTGTTACGATTATGTGATGTATCGCTTATGTGTATCCTAGCTATCATGTGAAAAGCATGTAATGGGTGCATATATATGAAAAACGGTGATAGAAATCACCTTACCAAATAGCATTTCCGCTTGGAAAGCATTGCATATTGCCTACGTGGCATAAACACTACCAAACATAAAATATGTGTTTGGTTCCATGGGCATATATCAAATAAACATTTATACTTGCTTTGGCATCAAAACCGAGAAAAGTGGGTGATAAACCATTTATTAACAACTAGGCACCATTAGGAACCATATCAACAAAATAATGAATAAACGTTTGACCGTTGGGAGAAGCATTAAAATGAAGCTTCCCCCAACGATTGGTTCACACATAAATCAATGTTAACTTTTATCAATATCGATGTGTATGAATTGGTATGATGGGATAAATGTTGGCATGGCAATGACATAGCACCATTTATCAAAATGCCTCTCAAAAAACTCCCACAAAACCAAACATATGCAAAAATGATATTTAATTATGAAAAAATGGGTAAGTAGGCGTGGGCATTTTTTATTGAAAATTGGTCCAAAAAACACTCATGCTACTAAGCACCATTGTATTTTTTATTCATGGGGAGATGTGGCTGTGAGGCGGGCTCAATAAGGAGCACATCCCAATTCTTGTTTTTGGTAATGTGTCACGAATTCGTGGTCAACCATCAATAATAATAATAATAATAATAATAATAATAAATTGGATGGTCCATGTCAGCATGTCTCTCCTTTGAGAGAAACTATTTATCTATTTTCTCCATTTTTTCTTATTCTCTTTTGTTTAAAAAATATAAAATAGTAATCATTGCTTCTCTTGATTAGATTAATAAAGCTACACATTATTAGCGAGAGACCTTTTGGTTTTCTAAGACCGCTTATTTTAATGCATGTTATTATTATATTTAAGAGAGAGAGAGAGAGAGAGAGAGAATAGTAATAATATAAATAGGTTGATATTAAACAATAAAAAATTATTAATTTAAAAATCTACTATAAAAATAAATATTAACAAAACTTCATAAATATTAAAAATGTGTTTCAATTCCACTTAAAAATCAAACTTAATAAATGTTAATAAAAATAAAAAATTTAAATATAAAAATATTAATGGATAGTTTTAATAATATTATTAGATAACTTATGAGTTGAGACCTTTGTTGTGCATAATGAGCTCATTAAAAATGATAAAAATGCAGAAACCATTTTATTAACAGTATTTTATTGCAAAAATTACTGAATAATAATGAAAAATACTAATAATTAATTAAAAATAAAAAATTTAAGTATAAAAATATTAATTGATAGTTTTAATAATATTATGAGATAACTTTGTATTAATGTATTTTTAATTAATTAATAATTTTTATGAGTTGAGACCTTTACTGTGCATAATGAACTCATTAAAAATGATAAAACTTAATGAAATTTTAAAATGTAGAACTTGTTTTATTAACAATATTTTATTACAAAAATTACTGAATAATAATGAAAAAATACCAACAATTAATTAAAAATCTAGAAAATTCTGAAAAACTAAACATAATTAAAATACTAAAAATAATTAAAAAATATCGAAAATTAACAATATTTTATATTAATAAGGGTATTTACTGAAAATTATTTAAAAGTATAATTAATAATATTTTATTATTAAAAATACCAAAAAATTATTAAGAAAATACCCAAGCCTGAAATTATTAAAACATATTGACAAGTAGTTGTATTTTTTATTAGCTATGGTATTTATTTAGTTATTTAATTTATTTTTACTGAAAGCAAATGCAAATTAATTTTTTAGTGACTAATATGCAAAAATAAATGCTGAAAATACTGAAAATTATTGAAAAATAATGAAAAAACACAAAAAACTGATTAAAAAACCGAAAATTCTGAAAAATATAAAGCTTAATTAAAATACTAAAAATAATTAAAAAATTAAATTAATTGTATTTTATTGCAAAAAATACTGTATAATAATGTATTTTAATTATTAATAGTAATATAATTGACAATAATTATTTTTAAATTATAACTAATAGTAATTATAATTTAAGTTATAAATATTAGAAAATTACATTTTATTACCAAAAAGTTATATTTAATTACTAAAAAATTACATTTAGTTAGTTTTAGCCACGAAATTAGCAATATTTCTAAAAATATGATAATTTCCAGAAATTACAATAACTAACAATATGATAATATGAATTGTAATATCTTAATAACTAACAATATTTTAATAATTAATAATAAAAAGTAATAAATCATTTATAACTTAACCTAACCCGGTTAGATCTATAAATTTGTAGGCTCAATCAACTATTTTCTTTTGAGTTAGGTCTAGAGATATGCACTATGCCCAAACATTATTATGGATATTTAGATTTGAAATTTAATTGGGTTTCAAACTTTTGGAGTCCAATGATGGATTTAGTGGATAGGGCCCAAGCTAAACAACCCTTAATAAGCTCAACTTGGAAGTTATATGCATATATGGTTTAAATATTATTATATTTAAATAACAAATTTTATATTAATATATAAAAATGTTATATATTTTTTTATACTAGACAAGAATTAAATAAAAAATTTAATTTGTAAAAAATCATAGTTTTATAATTAATACGGGCCTCTTTATCAATAAAAATTGTGCAAGCCCAAAGCCTGATCTGTACACAAAATGTCATATTTTCAGTATACTTTTATAAACTAATATTTAGTAATAATTTAATAAATTAATAAATTAATAAAGTAATTAATTTATATTTCCTAATAGTAAATTGATATTTATTAATAATTTAAGAAGCATATATATATATATATATTATATTTATTATATATATAACATAAGTACTTTTTTATATATGTAATGAGCCCGGATCATGCTTATTTGAGAAAGCACGAGCTCGAGCCCATGGTTCTAAAATTTTGTCCAAGCTTGAAAATAACGAGTTAGGTCGGGCCGGGTTGTCGGGCTACTCGACCCATGAATAGGTCTAATTGTATATATAAACAATTATATACATAAAAAATCATAGCTTGGCCCGGTCCACGACTTGGCCTGGCCTAAGTCTCGGCCCATGGACCAACCCTGCCCATGGCACGACATGGGCTCCTGCGGGCTTGGGCCGTGGGTTGTGCCGAATTGACCCCTCAATTATCCTAGGGGAGGGAGGCATGACCCGGGACGCCCGTGGGCCAACACGGCACGGCACGCACTTTGTGCAGGCCTCATGCAAGTCGTATCGTGCCGGCCCAACACAACCCGATTTACACCTCTACTCGAACCCGCCCAATAGTAGGGGCAGGGTAGGGAAATTCGAGGATTCCCCATCCTTGATGAGGAGTGGGATGCCTTGCCCTTAACCACCTGACACTAGAGATGAGGCAGGGATGGGGTAGAGTGTCTTGACTATGGGGTAGGCATTAATAATTGTTAATTATTAATGAAATTAATAAAAATGTGAGCTTTTGTAATTATTTGTATTTATTCAAAGTTAATCAAAATTTCATTTAAAAATAATAATAATTATTAAAATTACTACAAATTATTAATAAAACTAGATTTATTAAAAATATTTATTCATATTAAATTAACAATAATTATTTTTTGTAAATCAATATTAAATGAAAAATACAATTATTAAAATTTTAAATATTAACAATAACTTTGAATATTTTTAGTTAATTAATAAATTTTGATTAATAATTTAATATTAATTAATACTAAATAAAATTATTAAATCTTTCAGATTATGCACGGTCCCCGCTAATTAGTACAACCGTAGGCGATTCAAACTCGGGCGTGACGGCCCCAATACGCAAACGCTGCGCGACGCCCTCCGTATTTACATGTGCTATAAAAGCTAACAACAAAATAGGGTTTCCGCCTCCTCAAGCCTCTGCCGTGTCCGGTCTATCGCAGTTGCCCTCCACTTCAGGCGAGCCACAATGGTACACAATCTCTTTCTGTTTGTTAATCTGTGGGTTATCTCATTTCTAGATCAATGGCTACTTTTAGATTTCTCAGATCCTTTATCTCTGTTACTCGTTTTCCGTTCTTTTTAAGTCAGAAAGCTAGTGCTGTACTTGATGATATAAAGAGGACTAGATAGATTTTCTAGAGTGGTATCAATCCGTCTTGAACGCCTTCTGTAATTGATAAAGGAAAAAGTGAGAGAAAATAATCACAAGTTGTTCTTCTGTGTCCCTTTCAATTCATTTTTTCAACTCTACTCAATGAAGATTTGCCCCAATTATATGGGCTCGGAGTCTTGAATCCTGTTCCGCCATTCTAAAATTTTCAAACCATATTGTCGTTGGAAAATACCCAAAGCTTTTACTGGGGAATGCTACCAGTTAATCGTTTCTCTGTAACCGGAAAACCAGAAAAAGAAAAAAGGACAAGAAGGGCGCGTATGGGTTATGTTCTTTTTAGTTGTAATATATGATAACCTGTAAATGCAATGGCAACGAGACCTGATACTTATGGGTGCTTCTGTAGTCTCATGAGATTGTTCAACTTGTTGACTTGTCTATGGTTGTTAATTGTTACTGGGTTCTCGTATTTGGGCATCTGTGTTTTCCTTTTTACTTTATGCTTGCCATAGCAGTGGAATGATGGTTTTTAAATCTTAGAGGTTATTGGGGTCCTTTGAAGCATATGGTTTTCCAATCTTAGTGGCTACTCGGCTATGGTACATAGACATTTCAAAATGGTCACCGTGTTGTGTTAGACACTTTAGTTTAAGTCATGTGTATCTGATGTCTTGTCCATATTGTTTTCTTTACTTTAGTTTAAGTCATGTGTTTTCCATGTGTATCTGATGGTACATAGACATTTTCTGACTCTAGGACATTACATGACCACTTTTGTTAAACAGTTTCTGAGGCTTCTCAAAATACTTACCGTTCTTGCTTATTGTTGGGAAGTATGGGAAATGCAAAAGTCTCACCCTGGAAAAACATTTAATTCTATTTGAAAAAAAAAATGATTGAGAAAAACATTTAATTATATGGGGAATGCAAAAGTCTCACCCTGGAAAATGTCTAAGATTTCCTTGGTGAGGGCTACCTGTGTTATTGTGTGCATGAGTTCTGCAACTAAACTTAACATTCAACTTCATTTAAATTCTATTTTGTAAGTCATTCGCAGTATTGAGATTTTTGAATTAGATTTAGTTTTTCTAGTGACTGTTATTCTATGGTGCAGACTAAGCGAACAAAGAAAGCAGGCATTGTTGGGAAGTATGGTAAGCACACAAAAAACATGTTAATCCTATATTTTCTTTTGAAGTTTGTACCTCATTCATTGTTGGTTGCCTACACCCAGTAGGTCCGTAAGGTATTGTTTAATTATTCATTGTTGGTTGCCTCTTGAAAATGGCGGTACTGACAAATTCCAAGCTGATTTAACCTCCTGGTTGCTCATTTTGCTAACTGAAAATAAAGAGTTAATGGTCATGGAATTTTGTTTTTGAGTCTGCTTCCTAGATCCCCTAAATCAAGTTGGGCTATGACCCTACCAAGATGCATTTAGGTATGCTTGGTTTGTAGGCAACAAATATGGTCCGGATGGCTCAATTTGTCAAGTGTAATACTATAATTAAACTGAGGCTCGTATGCAACTCACTTCAGGTACCCGTTATGGGGCCAGTCTTCGGAAGCAGATTAAAAAGATGGAGGTTAGCCAGCATAGCAAATACTTCTGTGAATTTTGTGGGAAGGTAAAATGCTTTTCATGCCGAATATGTATTTGGTGGCTTTCTGTTTCAGTTGATGTGATGCAAGTACTTATTGTAGTGGGTGAAATATTGCAGTATGCAGTGAAGAGGAAGGCTGTTGGAATTTGGGGTTGCAAAGACTGTGGCAAAGTTAAAGCTGGTGGTGCTTATACTTTGAAGTAAGGAACTAAGGATTATCATAATTATCAATTATCATACTCCTTTATAAACTGAGTCTGGATCTGCTCCTCACAATGCATGTCAGCCTCACATTGGGAACATCTCCCGTACTTTGTATTGTTATTTATGGGAAGATGTTCCCAATACACGGTGGGATGGGGTGTGAGGTGTGCTCTGCGAGGAGCAAATCCTGATCCTTGTAAACCAACTCTCTCTCTCTCTCTCTCTCTCTCTGCACATCCTTTGAGATACTTACTGCAGTTTGTTGAACTGTTAATACAGCACTGCCAGTGCCGTGACCGTGAGGAGCACCATTCGCAGGCTGAGGGAACAAACTGAGGGTTGAACCTCTTTTTGATAATTTTATAGTCTATTTTTATTCCTTTTTGTATTTTGCATCTTAAATGCAAAAGTATTTAACTTTTTGTAGCAAACTTCTTTATTTGATTTATGGAATATTAGTTACCAGTATTGGTTGGCATGGCCAATTTGTGAACATTGTTCTGCCGGAGATTTTCTCGTTCCTTGTTCCATAGGCCAATTGCAACAACTGTGGAGACGCCATACCCACTTTTAGGAGTATAGTGATCTGCTCTGCTCGTATTTGAATGCAAGGTTCAAAGTATCATTATGTATCGATCTGGGCTTCTGATACGCCCCTACAGTGGGTGTATTAGGGGTCTGACCGGTTCAGGGGATGGAGGGGTCCTAGATTGGTTCTCCTGAACCAGTTTAAAAAAAAAAATAAAAAAAGGTAAAAAAACAAGTATCAAAATGCCCGATATGCCCCCACCAGCGTATCAGGTGTACCGATATTTTGAACCTTGTTTGAATATTAACACTTAACAGAATCACATTATACTGGCGCGCCTTGACCTTGTGCAAGTGGCCCTTGGTTGAATCGCATCCTAATTAATATATATTGCAGATTATTATGGAAGATACTAAGCTTTAGAGGTCTGAGGCTTTCTCTAATCGTCCATTATCAATCCAGCACCTGGGATAGAAACGAAACAATAGAAAACCCCAGGCCCCAGAGAAAAAAGAAAAAGATGGGGTAGCCGGGTATGGCATGGAGCAGGGATCACGTATGCATTTTTAAGACGCATAATACCAGTCAAAAATCGCGGAAGACGCAATGGCCCATGGCTGCAGTTGCCCACCTGCAACTCAACTCAACTCAACTAAGAACAGCCCACCCATTTCAAATTCAATATTCATCGAGGTTTTTTGGGAGATGAGGCTGATCAAGCATCTGTCCTGCAAGTTGCAACCGGGTATGAATTCCTTGTATTTTATTTTGCCTTTGCGTTGCAATAAATCTGATTAATCATGAGTGAAGGATGCAGGATTTACAATGCTCGCTGACCATGGGATGTTTCCGTTTATCCTGGTCAGGTCTAAGCATCTAACCTCAGTGAGAGAGAGAGAGAGAGAGTTGTTATGGTATTAACTCCCGTGATACTCTTTTATGACAGCCATCAATAGTTCACATGCAAGATACAACACAATGGCCTCGCTAAGGTTTAACCAAAGCACCGCCATATAGATGACAAGTAACCTAACTACCCCTTTACAATAGAGAAGCAAAGCAAAGACAATTAGAAATCACCAAGATAATCGAGCACCTTGGTCGTGGTAGTGCCATCCTTCAGTTCATTAGTGCATCATCTCTCATTCCTATGTACATGTTACACTGAAAGCTAAAAGGGAGACACAGAGACAACCTCCTCCTCAATCAGCCACTTTGTTTCAACAGAAATGTGGTTCCAAGCAGGCACCTCGCAATTGCTATCCTCTTGATTTCAACAAGTAAATAGCAAAATGCAAACAAGAAAATAACAATACAGAACAAGCTGTAGGGGGGCAAAATTCAACTTGATGCAATTCAACCACTAATCCTCCTTCGCCTTCGACCCATCTGCGGTTAATACAAGATGCTGATGATGAATGACCCGTTGTCACACAATTGGAATTGGTACGTCATCTTTGTTATTGTTGTGATGCATTCGCTTCTGGACAGCCTTTACAGCAGCAACTCTCGCTGCATTGGCTGCCTTATTAGCTGCAGCAACAGCCTTGTTCACCCTCTCATCAACTCTGGCCACATTGTATGCCTTCTCTGCTGCTCGCCTAGCTTCCTGGTAATGGGAATGACCAAATCAGAAAATTCCACTTTTCTTTCAATGGTTCTATCAAATTTTCTCAATTAAAGTTTCCCATTTAGTATCTTCACTTGCTCCTTTATGGTCCAAGTTTTAGGCTGTGTTTGCTTTCAAAGAGAGAGCAGGGAAAGGTAGGGAAACCTATATAAGGATTGTATAGGTTTCCCTACCTTTTCTTTCAAACCAAACACAGCTTTAAATTTTCCTAGTTTTGTAGAAAATGTGATCAACCATGTAAGTACCCTTCTGGGTTGGATCATTCAATGGCAGTATGCCAGTACCTAAATGTAAAAAGTGCACTGGCACTAATTGACCAATTGCACTCTGCAATGGCCACTATCCGATGCATGGGATCATCCAATATTTGAGATGGTAAGATGATCTTTGGTTGCATGCTAGGTGAATGCAAATATGCAATGACTAAGAAATTCTAGACCACCATTACCACACCCAAAGAGGCAGTACACCAAGGTTGATGGTTTAAATGACAATTGAAGGATGACTCTGACTGACTAATTAGATTGACTAGTAAGTTGCACTTTATGCAGATAATTCAAGGTTATTGCTTAAAAACTGAATTATTAAATTTCACGAAGCCTTGAGGCCTTAAGGTGAAGCGGAGCCAAAGAACCCAGACTCAGGCACCTTTCTCATGTCCTAAGAAGCCACCACCTCAGTTCTTGAGAGCCGTACACCTCATATAAAAAAATTGAAATTGAAAAATAAGAAAAATTATTATAAATTAATTATAACACTTTCCAAACTCAAAAATCTACCATAATCTTTTTTACCCTAAAAAATCTATTTTTCTCACTAAATGTAGATGTTAGAATAGCATCTCTACTCTATTTCTCAATGTGTTCACCCATGACACAAGATAGTGGGACCCACCGATTTTCAAAACATAATAGTTATGATTTTCTTTAATAAACAATAAATAAAGTAAAATATCATTCATAAAAAACAAAGTAAAATATCAATATAATAAAAACATGAATAATATCCACTCATTACTTACAGGCCATTTAGTTCTAATAAACAAATTGTATATGACGAAAAATATTTACTGTGGTTTCTTTTTGATGCCCTAATCTAATTACAATCAACAAAAATACCTTTGTATGGACAAATTTTGCATAGTGTTTGGGCTGGGTCTTTGCTCCTGCACCCCCAACCAAGCCCTGGTATACTTGCTTCAGCTCAGGCACCTCTGCTCCAACACAACCCCCCTTTGCTAGTATTGATTTTTTTTTTTATTTATATGTAAAAAATGTCATAATTGTAATATAAAATAAAAAAACATATTAAAAAGACTATACATGTAATAAAAAGTAAAAATCTATAAGTTGTCTATGAAATAAATAAATTATATTAGAAAATGTAAGAAGCAATTATAAATCATTCAGCTTGTTATATAGACACAAATAAACTAGGAAATATGCAAATTAAGTAAATGGGTTACTTTATTTGGGCAAAGAAGGCTATAGCCATGAAACAAACTAAAAAGTAAAATTTCAAAAGCATAGAATTAATATTAAACAAATATATATGGAAGTAAATATAAAATTTTGTTATGAAATAAAATAATTAAGACATATCCACTGTTCAATTTGCTTTTCCAAGCACATTTGGTTTTATTAAAGGCTAAGGATTGAAGCACATTATTTTACTATTGCCTAGGTGTCACCTAACCACACAAGGAGGCCAGAAAATGCCTCATTGCTGGGTTGACTGCAAATGAATTTGACGATTATGCTTGTCAAAACTTGCACAAACCCTTCCCAGGTGATGAGTGCAGGAAAGTGAAGTTACCTGGACAGCATTCAGCACTTTAGAATTGTTAACGGCAATTGGAGATCCAGGGTGGGTGTTCTGTGTGCTTGGAATATCTAGGATACCATTTTGCCAATGACCAGACTGTGTCTCTCCATTTCTGAATGTGTACATCCCAAGCCCTTGCCTTCTTCCCTCATGCCACGCTCCTTCATATCGATGACCATTTGCAAAACGATATACTCCAAAGCCATGCATCTTGTCTGCAAAATATTCTCCAGCATAGGTGTCCCCATTTCTACATTTGATACAAATCAGATTAATTTTTTTATCATTAAATTTATTTAAAATATGATATAAATCTGCATACCAGTAACCACCTGCAAACAGATCTAATCAGATTAATCTTTGTATCCTAATCTTTCTTAAGTGTAGCCACATAATAGGACTCATTATCTGGCAACTGTAGATAAAGATACAATTCCGTTTTTCCATATTTGGCACAAGGATGTGGTAGACAACCAAACTAATCCAACAAAATAAAATATTCTCACTCTCCATCAACAAAAAGAAAAGAATAATTCAATTGCACTTGACCACTTCTGTTAAGAAATCATATGCTTGGATAGGCAGTCTCTCACCTAATTCAAGCTTAAGCTATGGTACAGAAATGGATAAAGAATTGGTAGAATGATCCAGGTGTAGTAAAATAACCTTCAGATGAGGACAATCCTACCATACAGCTCTTGAGATCTTATACTGAAAATTGAAGATAATATCTATGCAGAAGGAAGATAATCTCTATGAAAGCCACTCTAGGCAGAAGGAAGAACTGTCACATTATTTTTTGAGGAATTATTCATACTATACCTTGAAAACCTTGAGGAATTAAGAAAGGGCAAAAAGAGAAAATGTTGAACTCAATCACTGTTGGTTAATTGGACTTAATTACTTGCTTCCCTACTTCCACGATTATACTGGAAATATTGGATCAAACTTCTTACACAAGAACTGTATATGAAGGCAAAGATGCCATTGTTGTATATTCAGGGCAGTGCATAACTTCTCCTTGACAGAGCAGTAAAGATCCTGGGGGAAAGCTCTTAAGGCTATGAGGTACCCTAGAAGTGTCCATGCAATATCTGGTGTCATCAGGTATTGGACAATGGTATACTAGGCATGTGCAGCTATCTAGGTAGGTAATTAGGTATATAATCTCCAACATGCTGTTTTGTGGAGTGTATGGGAGAAGAGAAATTCTAATCCAAAACAAAGAAAAATTATAATGGGCATTTGAGGAATTGCTTATATTTCTGGTTATTGACTATTCCATAGATTGGAGATCTTTGCTAGTCTTTATATGTGTTATGCGATGTTGAGAGGATGGGATATTATTATAGCAAGATCAGCTCCTTACAGAGTCAAAATTGATTGGGTCAAGAAACCCTTATGTGAGAATACCACCAAATTTAATTTTATTGAAGATGGGATAGGATAACATTCATTGAACCTTGGAAATTCAAGCTATCATGTTCAGATAGGTACCACGTTCAGCTAATTCAGTGGCAGATAACCTAGCTAGGGCTGCATGTGAAGAATGGAATGGTGAAAGCCGTGAAACAGGATTCATATAACTGACCCCATATAGTTGGGATAAGGCTTAGATGATGATGTAGATAGGACCCCAAATTTTGCATTTCCCCCCTGGTATAAATTGCTTCCTAAAGGTTCAAGTCCCAAAATAACATCCTACATGGATTCCGAAAACTTCAGTGAGATGAGGATTTTCTTGTTTAATAAAAATCAAATTTATTAAAGAAAAAAAAGGAACAAAAACAATCTCCAGTGATTAGATGTCACCTATGGAGGAAAGAAAATAACCAACACTCAACCAATCCAAAATTCAAAACCCAGATATATCTGCAAATTTCAAAGATGATACACCAGATCCAAGCACCCATATGATATACAGGATGACAAAATCCCCCTCTCTGTTGCACCTTTCTCTACAACAAAAATATCAGAGAAGTATACCTATTTGTTTTTTTTTTTGAATGAGAAAATTTCATTAAAAAGGAAAAAGAGATACAATAGAAGATGATAAGATATCATCCAAAAGGAGAACACAACTCAAGACCCAAAACACTTGAAACCCTACAAAGCAAAACATAGTACCCCTTAACACCTAGAAAAAAAACACCCAACTTACACATCTGAACCTGCCACAGGCCTCCCCCACAGCCTTAAACGTATGAAAACTCCAAGCATGTAATGGAATGCCAAAAATCACCAACCACACCAAGCTCGTTGGACCTATGTTTCTGATAGCACCAACCAAAGGAGATCGCCTTCCTATTCTAAATATGGAGATCGCAGTTCACTTTGTTTTCGTTCCAATACAAGATTTGCCTCCTCCGTTCTATCAAAAGTAAATAGAAGAGAACAAACACTCAACTTTCTAACCTACAAAGTCTTTTTGGGCACCAAGCTGCCACAGCCCAATCCCTAACAGCTTCTGCATCAGGTTGAGAGTTCACAAATCGACCAACTAGACTCTTTCCAAAATCCCGAGATTACCGTACGCCTCACTTGGTGTGTCCACCCAAACCTTCTGCATGGTCCTTCCTGAGATTAACGTACGCTCAACATCTTCCGCATAGGGAGGTATTTTCTTGATTCAACTCTTCCTCCAAGTCATAAAATACTTTGAGGACCTAAATGCTTATAACAGAAATCAGAAACTCAGTCTAACTAAAACCAGCACTAACAAAACCATCCTCCCCATAAGAGAAGCAATACTGTAGAAATCACCTGCCATGTCTTGCAGATAAAACTGTTGAAAATATAATATTTGTTATCATTTGCATCTGCAATACACATACATCTAATGCTCTAGAACAACCTTCTAAATGGTATCAGGCATATCCTCTTACCCCATTTTTCTCTCCCCTCAAACATTACTAGTTCACTACCAAACTCTCTTTGAGTGTTGCTTGAACTAGCAATGGAAAGCAATACCTTTAGTGTTCATGATTTCCCATTACTTGGTATTCATTTTGATTATTAATTATAAGTTCAAGGATTTGACTTTTTTTGATGAATTTCAAGTTTTTGACTTTTTTTGATGAATTTCAAGTTTTTGACTTTTGGTCATCATCATCTTTTAAGCCTTATACCATCCATAAGGGGTTGGCTACATGAATCCTGTTCTGCCATTACTTTCTGCTCAATATCATATCCATTGTTAAATTATTTCTCACTACTAAGTTCATTGCAAATCCTATCTTTTCTAGTCGTCCAACTCATCCATCTCAGCATTAGCAGTTTTTCCATACTCGTTTTATCACATTATTATTATTTCCTGAATTTAACCAAAAATAGATATCAAAATATGGGTGGGCATTAATGGTAAAAGTAAATCGAAGACAGAAAAGAAGGATATAAAAATGGAATAAAATGAGGAAGAGGAGTCAAACTTGGAGGTTGTTTCATATAATTAAAAAACAAAAAACTAGGTATTAGTTCTTCCATCAAATCTTCATAGCTGCCAATAATCCATCAAAACTGGGAGCTTGCATATGAATGATGCATGCTTAGGTTGCTTCTCCAATGCCGGTTACTTCTACTTTCCTTTTTTTTTTAATTTTTGGGTGGGGTGGATAACCAAGGCACACCCTAGATTTGAGGCCTGACATAAGGCCCAGTTATTCAGCCCTACACACCATTGTACTCAATGTCTCTATTAATAGAATTAAAAGGAAATCAGAGAGCAGGTTGACATGGAAGAGAGCTTCAAAAAGTTTACCTAAGGCAGATTTTAGAATGATAGAGGACGAAATGGTAGATACACATGGATGGATCCATCTCCTCTATTACCTCCCATCTGGAGCTGTATTCCTCCATTTCACTCCAATCTGGACTTGTTTCATAACAAAGATGCTCTTTTAGGCCCCTTAAAGGGAAAGATCTCTTTCCTAACTTCTGGCTGCATTCTATCAGCTATTAAAGTCTCTCCAAAGCCCATATGTTTGTATATTCAACTACATAGGCTTATTATGGGTTTGAGAATGGGATAAACAGCCAGCCATTCTGGATAACAGCCAATATGAGCTCTTTCTTTCCCCTAGACCAAAAGGCAACTCTGATGTTCTCAATTTAGCCTGTACTTCTGAGGGAATGAGTACTAGGACAACTCAATATTTGGGCCTTCAACCAATGATGCTCAACCAATGGACAAATGGCTAAAAAATCTTCCCTACAAATTAAGCCTTTAATCTTAACCATATGATAACCTGATCAATATGCAACCTGTTGGGTAAAGATCCACATAAGTGTGCATCCCCAACCATATGCATGGTAAAAGGTAAGACTGAAGGTCATTCCTGTCCTTGTCAAAGTAACAACCATCTCTCATTTCAATGAACACAATATGTCTATATATGAAACCTAGCATATAGTCACAACTTTAAAAACTTCAAATTATAAATCAGAGGGACCACAAAGCCACTGCTGGAGCAAGAACCAGAAGAATTTACCCCTTTCTGATCCAGACTGGGAAATGAAAAACTACTAGATGTATTGGCACCTACTAAGTTAAGAGAGAATAAATAGTTTGTATAAGCATAGGGTTGAAACCCCCACCCCTTGCTTATTTGGATGTTTTTACACAGATGGAGCTCCAATTCAATAGACTTATTCAATCCAAATTTATGCCATAGTTTTTAGATGGAGACCCCAGCCAGAAGTAGCAAGCTACCCTCTCCTGGTGACTCAAACTAGTATGCATCCCCCTATTCTCATTGCTTAAGTTGGGACAAATAGAGAATGAAAATGCAGAAATAGGGGGGTAGCCTTTTTTTCCTATAACATAGATGCTCATTATTAAGTAAAATAATTGTAACCTTTTTTTCATAAGCCACTAGAGATGACATTAAAGATAACATCAAGGAATTAATTAAATGGTCATTTAATTGTAACCATAACATCAAAGAATTTGTCATCCAAACTAACTCAAACATACTCCAAATACATGGGACTGAGTTTTAAATTCATAAACCTAACAGACTTGAAAGCTTGGGCCAGAAATCCAAACATTTAATAAATCCATGACTGCAAATTCAACCATCCACGCCTAATAGCCTAGAAGAATGTGCAGACACAGCAATGCGGCATCAGATATCTAAAATATCAAATTGCAATTATTCACTATTCCATCATACCAGTTTGAAAACCAGAAAAATTCAGTCAATCAAAGATAAAAACTAAATACTAGTGGAGAGACCCAAGGTCCAGTATCAAAAATACCTAAAATGATAGTGACCAAGGCCATGCTTGACACCCCACTTGAATTCCCCCACATATCGACTTCCATCCTCGCAGGTATGAACGCCGCATCCATGGCTCTGCCCGTTTGACCACTCTCCAGCGTAAACGTCTCCAGTGTAAAACCTATATACCCCAAGACCATGCCTCAGACCCTGTCTGTACTGCCCACGATATCGACTCCCCCTTGCCCATGTCTCCACCCCATACCCGTCGTACTTCTCGTCGACCCAATCGCCCTCATACCTCCCGCTCATGTAATAGTAGTAAACTCCACTCCCTGAACACTTTCCCTTATGAAATTCACCCTCATAGACATCGCCGTTACTGTAAACCTGAACGAAATATCCGGAATTGATCCGTTTCTCAGATTTTGGCTTCGACCCAATTGACCAAAGGACCGGTGAGGACCGGCGGGAGGCCGGGGAGGATAGCTTGAGAGGGAATGAGCGAGATAGGAGGAGTCGGATTGATGGCAGCCGAGGGAGGGCTAGATTAAGGGAAAGGAGGAGTACAGCGCAGAAAGCAAGAAAAGAGAGGAAGTCAAGGAGGAAGGACCTGCGGGGGTTGGATAGGAAGAAGTAGAATGATGGGAAAGAGAAGAGGAGGAGGAGGCGAAGATGGACGCGCAGGCGGCGGACGTGGCGAAGGAGCCGGAAGGCTGCGGCCTTGGTTTTCGACGAAACGTGAAAAGGAGATAGAAAAGACGAAGCCGGCGATGAAGATGACAAGTTGGAAGGATACGGCGAGGAAGTAGTATGGTGGTGCTGGTATTGGTGGAGAGAAGATAAGGTGGGAGAACTTGAGAGGGTTGAAGGCGTGTGGTTCATTATGGGTCTCTTGTGGGGGGCCGAGAGAACAGTTTTGGTTGATGAATTGGAGGTGGGTTCATCTTCAAACTGTGTTTGGGTTTGATTTTGATGTGTCGTTACTGTTAGCGATGTTGGTGGTGGTGGTCCTGGAAGGGATGCTGATGTCGATACAGATGATGGGTAGCCAGGAAAAGATGGAGGAGGGATTTGGATTTGGATTTGGATGGCGTCCTGGGTTTGAGAGATTGAGTGGTTTTGAGATTGAAGGAGGTTCTTCTGGTAAATAGAAGGGAAAGGCGGTGTTGGGTTGAAATCGGAAGAGACCCCGCTGCTTTCTTTTCCGATCTGAACTTCGGATTTCTTATGACGCATTACATAAAAAAATAATCCCCTTTTCTTCTTCTGCTTCTTTTCGTTCTTCTTCTTCTTCTTCCTTATATCTCTGTGGAGCCACTGTTGAATGAGTTGGGATTGTCGTATTCTCTCACCTCTCCCTTGTTCTCTTCTCCTCACCTCTGAGAGTTTGGGTTGATTTTTTTACCTTTCAGTGTCTGCCTATAATTTTCTGTTTTGTTTCCTTTGTTCGTTTCTGGTTTTGGTGTGACGACGTTTTTCGCAGAGGGAAATAGGTGTGCGGAAGAATTGATTTTCAGATTTTGGCTTTTGGGATGGGAAATGGCCAAACTAGCCTTGGAAAATATCCTTAATTTCGTTTTAAATTACTAAAATGACACTCCATTGCCGGATTTCTGGAAAATCATGAATGTACCCTTTATCTTTCTAATATTTTAATTTCATGTTCATCTTTCTAATAGAAGTTAAATATGAAATAAGGAAAGTGAAACAAGTGCAGAAACAGAAGAGAATGCCCAAATATATTGACTCTAGGGGTGCAACTTGGGCGGGCCCAGCCCGAGCCCAAATCAGCCCAACCCAAAATTTTATATGAGTTGGGTTTGGCCTCAAGAAGTTGGGCTTTTTTATTTTTTGGGTTGGGCTTGGGCCTAGTCCTTATGTAGCTCGAATCTGATTCGAGCTTGGCCCAATTATATACATTTAGACATATATGTATATATATATATATATTGCATATATATATTTACATATATATATACATACATATTTGTATATATAACATTTATATAGATATTTTGCATACATATTTACATACATACATAAATATATGTATATATATACATATTTGTATATATATCATTTATATAGATATTTTGCATACATATTTACATACATACATAAATATATGTATATATATTTGCATAAATACATTTATATATGTATAATTTTAGAGTGGATTCATTGATCAACCCGATCCCAACCCAAGTGCATCAAATTATAGGGTGGCCTGGATTAAGATTGGGAAAATCGGGCTTGGGCCTTAAAACCAAATTTTAGGGCTGAGCTTGGGTTGACCATAAACCCGGTCCAACCCGCACAACTTGCACCCCTACTTGACTTAGGTTATCAACCACATCCAGAGTCTGAAATTGCTCCCAATAAAATACTCCAACATGCTTCCAACATTATTTGACACGACATATATCATACATGATGGTTCCCAATTTAATGGTAAGATGTGTGGTGTTAGATTGTGTTTGAATGAGTTTTCTTGGAAGCACATCCCAACCCACAATCAACCCCACTCAACTAGGCATTTAGGCCTCTTGAAATAAATGGAGTAAATAATAGCTTATATATTTTATTTTGAAAAAAACTTTTGCTCCTTTTATAGTGATACAAATAGAGTTTTTGTTTACTTCGAGTAGTCGATGAAGACTACAATCAATCTTGAATTCGAAAATAAAAAGAAATATTTCAGAAGAAAAGAAGAAGAAGAGAGGGAGAAAAGAAGAAGCACACGAAGGGTTTTAGAAAAGAGAGAGAGGGTCAATCATAATGATCTGCCGACCCACTCTTAATATTTATATATGTTGGCTAATTGTAAAAGGGCTGAATTGCCCTTATTGCTTACATGACAAATAAACTAATAAAAAAGCTGAAATAACAAGCTATAACAACAAACTGAAATAACTAACAAAAAACATATGCTATGCTGCCATACGAACATAGTGGAGACCACAACAATGGGGTCCACATAAGAGTTCTCTACACTCCCCCTCAAGTTGGGAATAGATATTTGTCATTCTCAACTTGTATAGGTCTGCCTCTAATTTCTTCCTTGGAACAACCTTGGTGAGAAGATCTACGAGCTGCATGCTGGAGGTGATATACGAGAGATACACTTCTTGAGACGAAACCCTTTCTTTGACAAAATGTCGATCGACTTCGATATGCTTAGTTCTATCATGTTGTACCAGATTATGAGCTATATTAATAACAGCATGATTATCACAATACAACATTAGTGGCTTCTCATAAGCAATACCCAATTCCTCAAATAATGACTTCAGCCATAGGATTTCAGCCACACCATTAGCCATAGATTTATATTCAGCTTCAGCACTAGAACGGGAAACAACACTTTGTTTCTTACTCCTCCAAGAGACAATGTTACCTCCTACAAAGACACAATATACAGAGGTAGACCTTCTGTCATCAACACTCCCAGCTCAATCAGCATCTGTATAGACCTTTATCTTCATGTGATCATTATTCTTGAATAATATACCTCTACCTGGACATCTCTTCAAGTATGCTAATATTCTCTCAACTGCAAGGAGGTGAGTAGTTCTAGGAGAGTGCATATATTGACTGACAACGCTGACTGCATAATTGATGTCCGGTCATGTGAGACAAAGATAGAGGAGTTTTCCAACTAACCGTTGGAACATAGCTTTGTCTTCAAGAGGTTCTCCACCCTTTGCACTGATATTATGATTATGTTCAATAGGTGTATCTGCAGGCTTAACACCCAACTTTCCAGTTTATGCTAATAGATCTAGAACATACTTCCTTTGAGAAATAAAAATCCCATGTTTAGATTTAGCAACCTCAATACCCAAGAAGTATCATAGCTCTCCTAGATCTTTCACCTCAAACTCTTGATGAAGGAGTTGTTTAAGAGACTCAATCTCATTATTATCATTCCTTGTCACTATAATATCATCCACATATACAACAAGCAAAGTCAAGGAAGAGTCCACTCTTTTAATGAACAATGTATGGTCTGACTGGGCCTGTACATAGATGAATTTTTCAAGGGCTTGTCTAAATCTATCAAACCAAGCTCTAGGGGACTGCTTTAGTCCATACAAGGCTTTATTCAACCAACAAACCTTCTTACCTGTCTCTGCATCATAAAATCCAGGAGGTAATTGCATGTAGACTTCTTCCTATAAGTCTCCATTGAGGAAGGCATTTTTAACATCCATCTGGAATAAGGGCCAAGAATAACTGGCTGCAAGGGATAGCAGAACTCGAATAGTGGTCATCTTTGCTACTGGAGCAAAAGTCTCCAAGTAGTCTATACCATAAGTCTAAGTAAATCCCTTTGCAACTAACTGTGCCTTATACCTTTCAATGAAACCATCAACATTATGTTTCACAGTAAATGCCCATCTACATCCAACCGGTTTCTTTTCTTTAGGCTGGTCAACTAGCTCTCAAGTATTATTCCTCAGAAGGGCATCAATTTCAACATTCATTGCATCTTTCCACTCAGGAACTGACAAGGCTTCCCGCACTGTTTTGGGAATAGGAATATCAGCAATGGATGTGAGAAAGGACTTGTAAGAGGGGGACAGGCGATCATATGACAGAAACTGGGAAATGCAGTGAGTTGTGGATGTGGTGCAACGCCGTTTGCCTTTACGGACTGCAATGTGGAGGTCAAGGTCATCCAAAGAAAGTAAAGTAGCAACAGTGGAGGGTATCTCAGGGGGACTTGGATCTAATAAAGGGACTGTGGTACCTAGATCTGGATCCGCAAAAGGAACTGGGGCTGGCCTGGACTACTGATGACCGAAATTAACTTGTCTTCACCGCCTGTGATAGACTCTCAAATCCTGTCACCTCTAACAACCCTCCCCATTACATCCCTCATCACTCAATGGAACAGGTAAAGGAACTTTTGATGAGTTAACCCCACTCTCACTACTCTCCCCATGAGGAGAAACCCTAAGGTAATAGGGTACCTCCTCAAAGAAAGTAACATCCATCGAGACAAATCTCCTCCCAGAAGTAGGTTCATAGCAGCAATAACCCTTTTAAGTTTGTGTATAACCGAGAAAAATGCATTTGGAGGCCTTATGATCAAATTTGGAACGATGAGGTCCAAGAATCTGAACAATGCAAATGCAACCAAAGGTTTTAAGGGTAACAATAAATAATTCTTTATCGGTGTATAGAAGGGTAAAGGGAGGCTTCATGTCAAGAACCCGTGAAGGAACTCGATTAATGAGATACACTGCTGTAAGAATAGCATCATCCCAGAAACGGATAACCACATTGGAGTTAAACATAATGCTTCTAGCCACCTCCAATATATTCCTATTCTTTCTCTCAGCAACCCCATTCTGCTGTGGTGTATAAGGACAAGTATTCTGGTGAATAATCCATGATCAAGTAGATAAGAGGCCAGTGGCTTGGTAAAGTATTCTTTCGCATTATCGGATCTGAAAATTTTGATTTTGACCCCAAACTAGGTTAAAATCATCTGATGAAAGATCTGGGTCAGAGCAGGAACCTCATCTCGAGAACGCATAAGGTAAACCCAAGAAAAATGGGTATAGTCATCAACAAACAACAAGAAATATCTGTACTCCCCCATAGAAGGGATGTGATACGGCCCCCAAACATCGGTATGCACAACATTAAAAGAATTACTACTTCTTTTATTACTCAAGGAAGAAGATGTTCTACAATGCTTTGCAAGCTCACAACTCTCACATCTCAAATTTGACATCTGAACARACTCRAACAAATTWGGAAACAAACTCTTCAAAGACCGAAAGGATAAATGACCTAACCGATTATGTCAAAACATAACCGGACTAACAGACTGAGAAACAAAAGACTTCCTATCTTCATGA